TTCTGGGCTCCAGCTAGGGCCCGGAATGCTTCTACATGCCTCACCGTGACCTCATTCTGGAGTGGTGGTTACCGGCCCAGCTTGCAGATGGCGCCACTGAGGCTCAAAACGGTGCCGCACCTTGTCCCCAAGGGAAAGCAGTAGAGCCAATGGCTAAGGACCCAGAGACTTGGGGATCAGACACGCCCGAGTTCAGAGCCGAGCCCCGACACCTGTTGAGGCTCAAGTGCTCTGGGCCTCGCCTTCCTCGTCGGTAAAGTGGTGACAGAAGACCGGGCGTCCCGGGGTCGTGGAGAAGGGCTCAGTGACGTGACGCACGCTAATGTGCCCTCAGAGAGAGCCAGCCACCGTCGCCTCACTGTACTGATGTCACAGCTGGGCATCAGAACGGGGCGGCGAGGCGCCCCAGGCCACGCGACTAGTAGGTGGGCAGGGTCAGGACTTGAACCCAGATCTGAATCTTCCTGCCCTCCTTACACCCCTGCGGGGTGGCTGCTGCCAGCCCTTGGCTCCCAAGGTGGTTGGAGAGGTGAAGCGCCTTGGAACCACCTGTGGTCCCGGCTTCTGGCGGAGCCACGGAAGCCAGCGCCGGCGCCCGGGGTTCAGGGTCAGGCCTGCGGCCGGTGTTCCAGGCCGCGGAGAGGATCCGGGGCAGCGTGCCTGGAGGCCTCGCTGGCCGCACAGCATCCTGCCGGCCACCAAGGCCCCAACATTGTTCTCTGGGCCCTCCCAGGTCAGGGCCCACACATCAGGGATTTCCGGCGGCCTGGCCAGAACTGCCTTCACCTTCCGGAGAAACGTTCCCCGGGGGGTCTGGGGCAGGGGCTGAGCCCCTCGCCCTGGGCAGGGACTGCCGGGAAGGGCAGCGGCAGCACGGTCAACATCCCCTTGACCCGACTGGTACCGGCCCCAGAGACTGGCCTCCTCAGAGCCATGGCGTGCTCCCCACCTCTCCCGAAGCCGAGGGAAGGGAAGGCTGTGACTCATTTTCATGTTAGGGCTGGCCGAGGTCGGGGCCCTTGGCCTCACGTCCCTATCACAAATGGGCTGTGACCTGGGTAAGTCACCCTCCTGGTGCCCCTCTGAGGGAGACTTCCAGGGTGGCCCGCAGCCCCTTGCTCTGCGAGCTTCTGGAGGGCACGGTCGGTTTCCTTCCCCATCCAAATGCTTCCGAGACCCGCTGGCGCACTCTGATGGCGCGCCCTCCTGCTGGCTCAGCCATTCCACGGCCATCACTCCGGCCTCAGTCTCCTCCTCTGAGAAATGGGGAGAACTCCGGCCTGGCAGGGAGCGCAGGGGATCGTAGCGGAGAACACGCGGACAGCACGACAAACGAGCTTGCGTCCCTGACTTCAGGCATCGGGAGGATGCACGTATAGATGCCGCCCCTGGGATGTCTGGGGGGCCCCAAATGCACGTGGCCGTGCCCGCCTTCCCGGAGGGCGTGTGTGCTTCTGAGGGCGGGCGCCGGTCCCCCCCTGCCCCGCAGCGGGACCACCGGACCCTGTAGCTGCACCGCCAATCCCCGGAGCCCGGGAGCCTGAGGAGGCGCCCAGAAGGGCAAGAGCAGGGCCATGATGCAGAGCCAGCAGCGTCCCGGTGAGGTCAGCGCTGTGGAATGAGTCAAATGGGATCACCCTGAGGGTTCTGTGCTCGCAGCCAGTGACTCATGGCCTGAACAGCCGCACCGGCACAGCCTGCCAGCCTGGGATGGCCGAGGCCACCGGCTCACCTCCCGCCGCGGCACACCTTTTAAGGACAGGGAGCTCGGGGCAACGCAGAGGCCTTGCCCCCAGGCCCCGAGGCCTTCGCCAGCCTTTCACACCTGCCGGGGGGTGGAGAGGCCGGACCCCCCCCCCCCCCGGGTTCACAAGTGGCATCATCACTTTTTAGACATGACCTTGGGTAAGTCAATTTCTCTGAATTGGCTTTTGCACTTGTAATTTGGGAATAATGCTTGCCTCACAAGAGAGGAATGGAGTGAGGTAATGAGTGTGGAAACTGCTTGGCAGAGGGCGCCTTTTAAGGAGTGGCAGCGGGGCACGCGGGGAGGGGCCCGGGCGCGGGAGTCACGGCGCCCCGACCCTGAACTCCGAGCCCTGCCTGCCCCCACCTTACTCACCGGGCGTCTGTGCAAGTTATTCAATGTCTGCATCAGCGCCTCTTCTGTAAAGTGAGCCACCGCCCGGCCCGTCTGCCCCGTGGGCTGTGGGACTCAGATCATACGCTACATTCTGGAGGATGACAGGAGAGGTACAGGTGCAGCCTGCCCCGCCTCGATCCCCGGCCCGGGGGCCCGTGGGCTTCGTGATCTTGGACAAGGGCTCAACCTCTGAGTCAGTCCCACGTGTAAAAGGGAATGTTGACGAGGACGCTAACCCCGTGCGGCCACCGAGGGGTCAGGAGCCCAGAACGAGGCCCGGCGCCCCGTGAGCGCCCTCCGGGCACTGGCTGCTACTGCCCATTGCCCCGCGGCCCTTGGCCTCCCTCCGCTACCGCCAGGTGCTGGTTTATCTGGCTTCTGCACGCCTGTGACAGGTCCCGGTCTGTGGTTTTGGCCGCTCCCGGGGCGGCCCGGCTCTCCTGCCTCCGCCACAGCGGCCTTCCCCAGGCGGTGCTCACGCGGTTTCGATAGGAACACGAGAGCCAACGAGGACAAAGCACACAGGAGTGGTCACGGCACCCCAGGGCCGAGGGCAAGGGTGTCCCCGGTGTTGAGCGCCCACGGCTCCCAGGATGCCAGCGCCTTGGCTGGGCAACTGAGCCTAAGGGCTGTTTGGCCCCAGGAGGGAGATAGAGGGCGGGCGTTCTGGGCTGGCACCTTGCTCCGCGGGCCAAGGGGAGCCGGGAACAGGAAGGGGCGGAGAGGCTGGCCGAGGCGGAGGAGGTACTGTGGCACACACAGGGAACAGCCGGCCCAGCTCCCTCAGGGGGCCAGGCTTGCCGCGGGAGTGGCCCTGTGCCCGTTGGCAGAGAAGGAAGCGCTAGAAGCATCCAGCGCATCGGGTGTAAGAGCCCAGGCTTCAGAGGCAACCACGCCTGGGTACAAACCCGGGCTCTGCGCCCTATGAGCCCGTGTCCTTATCTGCATAACGGGACAGGAAGCGCCCTCTTGCCTTGTGTGTGAAGGTGGCACCGGGACAGCGGCCACGACTGACAGCACTGTTAGTAACAGGAGAGGCTGGCCGAGGGCAAGAGGGTGGCGGAGTCAGAGGAAGCAGGGACAGCAGGCCAGCCCGGGAAGGGGACACAAGTGCTCCTGGAGCCCAGACAGAACAGAAGCTGTCGACAGAGCAAACCCTGGCTTTATTGGTCCGGTTTGTTCACAGTGAGGCTTCCAGAGGCAGGGGCCTGACTCCCCCGTCCCTCTGCCCAGTGCATGCTCTCCGCCCTCGTGCCTGGGAAGGAAGGAAGGTGGCTCTTTGGGGGAGCGGGGGGGCGGGGCGGTGGCTACAGGGTAATTTAGTGTGGGGCCCAGGGTCTGTTCTTCACAGCAGGAGGTAGAAGGGATCACATAAAGTTCTTTATTACAGACCTACAAAAAATGAGAGAATTATATATTACTCTCACTTGTTTGGGTTTCTTTTTTCCTCTTCTATTTTACAAAACAGCAGCAGGGAAGAAAAACTGCAGGAGGCAGATGGGCCAGGCACCGGGGTGCAGATCGGAAGGGGCCAGGGACACGCAGCCGCCATTGGCCCGGTGCACCGCGGGCTGGCTGGCCTGGGGCTCTCTCCAGCATCCTGGGGGAACTAAGGCGAGCCCTGGTGGGAGCAGGCAAGAGAGTGGGTGGGAAGACGGCTGTCCCCAGGTCAGTGGCAGTCAGCCGGCCCGGAAGCCCCGGAGGCTCCCAGGGTTTGGGGGCCTGGTCTCCAAAGCACGGGTCCACAGGGGCTGGACAGAAGGGAGGAGGCAGGAAGGGCCAGCACAGGAGGTCTGAGCTGTAGCGGGGGCCCTCCTGGAACCCCGGGGCCCAGGTGGGCAAGGGCCACCAGGATTCTTCCCTGCGTGTCAGCCAATCAGCTTCTTCAGGAAGGCCTCCAGCTGGTCCTCGTCCTTGATGCCCACGAACTTGTCCACCACATCCCCGTTCTTGATGGCCAGCACGGTCGGCACGGCGGACACCTGGGTGCAGGAGACAAGGGGAGGTGAACTCCTCTCAACCGCCACTCCCAAGCCTTTGTGGAGAAGGCCGGTGGCTCCCGCGGGGCACTGACGGCCCAGGAGGCGGGCACGGCCCCTCCTCTTGGTGCAGGGGTCCTGCGGGGCCTGGAGGTCCACCCGCCGGGGAGACTTTTCCACTGCGGGCTCCCCGTGGTCCCCTTCCTCCCCCAACCGCACGACTGACTCACTGGCCCAGTGGTTTGGCTGCAATGACAGGAGAGATGAAAATAACCCGTCCGTGCAGCTGCAGGCCGGGGCTGGGGGCGGGGCGTGGCTGAGGAGCCCGGAGAAGCTTCCCCAGGAGGGAAGACCCAGAGACTGGGGTCCGTGGCCTGGCTTGGCCCCTCGCGGGTAGGCCGTGCCACCTCCACGGCCCCGGTGCCCTCTTCTGTCAAACGGTGACCAAAGGATCTCCCTTGAAGGTTTAGGACAAACCATCCAGATGCAAAGCTGAGTGGTCAGGAGCTCAGGCTCTGGATGCGGCCACTCTGGGGGAGCCACTTCATCACTGTCTCCGTGTCCTCATCAGCAAAATGGAGCCACCGGAGGCATTCGTGCTGGGCTTGGGGGCTGCGTGGGATGATGCACATGGCGCCCTGCGCCTGGCAGGCACATCGAGTGTTAGGACCTGGCAGAGGGCCTGGTATGCAGTGGCGCTCAACAAACGGTGGCTGCAGAGAGCATGGCAGAAAAGTCTAACGCAGGAGCCACGTCGGCTCGCTGCCGTGGCCGGTTAGCAGGGTCCAGAAATTCATGGACTCCTACTGGACAGCGTGGGAGGAGGGGCTCGGCTACACACGATCCGATGTTTACTTATTAGGGGGGTCGGGGGCAACATTCTTGGCCTGTGAAGCATTTTCTCAAGTTCCCTCGGGGGACCTGTGCAGATTACACGGCATGTCAATGAGGCCCGCTGCACCCTGGCATCTAGCATTTTCTGCCGCCTGGGCTCCCTGCCTGACGTTTGTAGACATTTTTTAAAAAAATGGATACACAGAACAAGATAAACAGACTTTTCTTACACATGTTAACTACAAAGTAACAACAGCAATTTACACAAACACACCCCGTCTTCGGGATTCTGAGCGCATCCTGCCCGTGAGTCATCTCGGGAAACCAGACTTCGGGGTTAGAACGTTCACACCGTGCGCGGGTCGCTTACAAGAGAACCACAGGCCACAGCGGCCCGAGCTCATACCTCGGGCGGTGCTACCACTCGCTCCCGACCGTGTGGCAGGCCCTGGCCTCCGCTAACTGGCTCTGGGTGGACAAACGCGGCAGGTAATACGACAAAGTCCGTATTCCGGTTAGTCCCTCCCGGCCCTTTTGAGGGCTGTCCGGGGGCTGATGCGGTGGCAGCTGATATGCTCCTCAGACCCATCCGGCAGGGGGCGGACCACGTGTGCCACTGCCCGTGGCCCGACCACTGGCTCCCGTCCTTGTCGTTCACGACTGTGGCAGGGGAGGCGGCATGAAGTACAAAGGTCTGGAATGTGGCTCTTAGGGTCTCCAGGCACAGGCAGGGCCCAGAGAAACTTGCTCCGGCCGGGCTGCACAACCAGTCGTTTGGGGTGCGCGTGTGCACACATGGAACACGTAGGCTCCACCCCCAGACTGGAGCCCAACGCAGGGCCTCAAGTCACGACCCTGAGATCAACACCTGAGTGGAGATCAAGAGTCAGATGCTTAACCGACTGAGCCGCCCAGGTGCCCCAAACGATTTAATTTTAACTTAATTTAATTTAAAATATATAT